GAATGCAAGATTCTTAACATTGTGAGCGCCCAGATCCGAATTTTCGTTTGGAAGTGACGTTACTCCAAAACTCACTGCGATAACCTTTCCTTCAGTGCAAGACACACGGTCTTTCTACCGCGCGTTGCTTTCTTGCCTACAAGCATTAGTGACAATTCTAACTTTGCCTTTCGTCATTCCCTCACTTGCTTTTCATTCACGATGAAATGGTTGGCAGCCATACAGGTATTAGATTGCTCGGCAAACGCCATGACTTCCAATTTAAATCCAACAGCATATGCATATCGCTTCTCTTCTGAGACGCTTTTGTCGCTTCTCCATGGCTTTGGAAGATTACACGAAATGTGGGCACATTCCATTTCAGCTGAATCACGTAACATCCTGCTAGCGCTATTTTAGGGAGCGAATATAAAGTGCCTACTCAGAGTATGCTACGACACGCGATCCGGTGCCTTAAAAGTACAATGTAGTCCCACAAAACTGACCGTGAAAAAATTCCTGCTCCACCCGCTGCTCTACACTGTGCTTCATATGCGTGAGGCAGTGTCAGACGTACACTTTCACCTCACCCCATACTGTCGGCTGTGTTACCAGTTTCATGTGACTTGACATCTGGGCAATACACTGTTCCCTGCGGTGATAGTCTGTTTTAACGGCTCTACGTCCCATTAACTGCATAATAATATTACGCTTCCCATAACTGACAAAATGCGGAGCCCGTTTCGTTTGAACACAACCAAGTGAGAGCAGGTAGTGATGAAGAAAGATGGTAGGGAAAGAATGTCGGTTATCATTTTGCAGCTCTCTGACGGGTCGCCTAATATATGGACTTTGGACTTCAGAGAAATTTGATGGTGAAGTTATACTGTCGGCTTGCAGACCATACTCAATTTAAACTTCACACCTTGCAAAACACTGTAGACATTTTACAAACCACTTTGCTCGCTTTGCAAAACAAAATGAACTTTTCGCAAACCACATTGAACACATTGGATTTTAAGAAGAAAAACAACAATTTGCTTGCAAGTAATGCGGAGTAAGGCGACTAGACGATGTTCAGACTACTTTATGGCCATGCCAATGAAACCAAATTGTCTAACCAGCAGGTGCCACTGCAAACTCTTCTCTTCATTGTGAACTCCAACCGCCTCGATCAAAGGTGGTGACTGCGTATCCCCTTATCTCTGCATCTGTCTTTTCGTAGTCTATGTGCTTCTGACTTGGACCTGTGTAGCTATGTGACTATTGGAAAATCCGACTCCCCAATCGCATAGTCTAGCATGACTTAAATAATTGTTACCTAGCATTGGACGGTTCTTATGAAGCATTCGTTGAGAGAATGGATAACGATGCTCCATCTCAAGGTGGACCGAGATTCCTGCTGAAGTAAACCTTGGCTAAATCGATCACTTGGATGATAAATGCTGAAGCAGATAGGCGGCAGTCCAGATGTCCCCTGGTACTCTATAGGTCTTCGCGTATTTTTTGTGGACTAACCTATTCAGCTGGATGGATGAAAGACATCATGACTCCACCAAAAGTAGCATAGCCTTACTGGCCTACTGCTGCAAGTTGTTCTCAGAGGAAGGGGATTCAAACTACTGGACGATGTTCAGGCCATATTGTGCTCGTGTGAACGCAACGGAAATGTGAAAGCAGCGGGCGATTGTGCATGTCTTCCTTGCAATCATTGGCGTCGTCCAGCTCAATCAAATCAGTTACCGGGATTCCGCTGTCCATCTGTGGGGCTCCGCGTATCTTCTGTGTGTGTGTGTGTGTGTTTGTGAACGAACTTATTCAGCAACATGTTATCCTAAGAGTTTATACTACCAGGACTCCACCAAAACCAGTCTTGCTTTATTGGCCCAAAGCTGCAGTTTGTTTTCAAGGAACAGTGGAGCATTGATGTATTACGGGCAAAAATGCAGTGCTTAACAAGTCCCATGAGATACTTAACAAGTCCCGTGGGTAATTCGACTAGATAATGTTCCGGCTACATTTTGCTCATGCGAATGCATCAGTACTGAGCAACCAGTTGGCGATTATCGTTCGTCGCTCATTTTGGTAGTTTCGTGTAGCACAAGGCTAATAAATCGATGCTGGGTTCGATGGAGTCACCATAGCCTCCACTGATCCAGTAATCGAGTGGCTGAGAAGTTTCGCCCACCCACCCAAATAAAATACGCGGATGCCCATAGGGTGACAGGGAAAAATGTGTCATCCACTTCGCTAGAGGTGAAAAACGTCAATGATCAAGCGAAAGGTTTGGACCACTGACCGCTTGCACAGTCTTTTTGGATTTGCATGACCAGCATGCGGCGGGAACATCGTCAAGCCGCTTTACTCCGTTGGCTTGAAAACAAACTGCAACCTTAGTTTGGCAAAATCAGGTTGGTTTTGGTGGATTCATCATAGCCTTGACTGTTCCAATATTCGAGCAGCTGAATAGGTTCGCTCACACACCCACCTAAGATACGCGAAGGCCCATAAGCGACACGGGACAACTGGGGCGCCGGTTTTGCTGGAGGTGAACAACCCCAATGGTTGAGAGGAGGTTTTACACAATCGCCCACTGCTTATGCAGTTACGCTGTACCTGCGTAAGGGCAATGTTGCCGGAATAGCGTACAGTCCCATACTCTCACTGAAGTGATAACAAACTACATTTGTAAACCAGCGAAGCTAGTCTGGGTTAGGTTGAGTCATAATAGTCAACAGTGTTCCATTGATTGTACCGTACAGGTTCGCTCATAGACCCACAGGAAATGCTCGGAAGCATATAGAGCGACACCGGACAACAGCATCGCCGACTGTGCTCGAGGTAACCAACGCCAATGATCGAAAGGAAGACATGCACAATCGCCCGCTGCTTTCACATTTCCGTTGCGTTCACGCGAGCACAATATGGCCTGAACATCGTCCAGTAGTTTGAATCCCCTTCCTCTGAGAACAACTTGCAGCAGTAGGCCAGTAAGGCTATGCTACTTTTGGTGGAGTCATGATGTCTTTCATCCATCCAGCTGAATAGGTTAGTCCACAAAAAATACGCGAAGACCTATAGAGTACCAGGGGACATCTGGACTGCCGCCTATCTGCTTCAGCATTTATCATCCAAGTGATCGATTTAGCCAAGGTTTACTTCAGCAGGAATCTCGGTCCACCTTGAGATGGAGCATCGTTATCCATTCTCTCAACGAATGCTTCATAAGAACCGTCCAATGCTAGGTAACAATTATTTAAGTCATGCTAGACTATGCGATTGGGGAGTCGGATTTTCCAATAGTCACATAGCTACACAGGTCCAAGTCAGAAGCACATAGACTACGAAAAGACAGATGCAGAGATAAGGGGATACGCAGTCACCACCTTTGATCGAGGCGGTTGGAGTTCACAATGAAGAGAAGAGTTTGCAGTGGCACCTGCTGGTTAGACAATTTGGTTTCATTGGCATGGCCATAAAGTAGTCTGAACATCGTCTAGTCGCCTTACTCCGCATTACTTGCAAGCAAATTGTTGTTTTTCTTCTTAAAATCCAATGTGTTCAATGTGGTTTGCGAAAAGTTCATTTTGTTTTGCAAAGCGAGCAAAGTGGTTTGTAAACTGTCCAAAGTGTTTTGCAAAATATCCAAAGTGTTTTGTAAAACGTCCATCGTGGTTTACAAATGCATATTTTGTTTTGCAAATATACGGTACTGGGTGTATTTTGCGAAGTACCAACTACACCAGCTTTGCGTCCGGTTGTCTTTTTGGGTGCCTCATCGTCCCATTTCGTTCTTTTCGATTGGCTAATTTCTTGCTGTTCTGGTTAGCCAGTCTGCCTTTTAAGTGCTCAACTCTGAGTTGTTTTCTAAAAGCTGCAAATGAATGGCTACCGAAGGCAAAAAGCATCGTACTCTATTCAAGTGCGAAAATGGAAACTTTCATTCCTGATGTGTGTTGATCTTCAAAGCGCAGTGCGCATTAACTGGTATGCGATTAACTATTTATAGGCTAATAGAGTAGAGCAATTGATTGGTTTGCTGACCTTAAATGATTGCATACGTTTCGCCCGCATGCGAGGTGGCATCGTCAGTGTGGTTATCTGCGGCGGGTAATATTGCTGAAAGATTGCCTATTGCCGACAACCACTCCATTGTTTCAAAGTAACAGAGTCCAACATCCGATTTTTCTTCCGGAAGTCACAAAATTCAGGTCTTAACAACTTTTTAAAGGATTATTAGAAATTACCCAGTGCGCTGAAAACTCCGCGTAGCTACGATTTTAGGCAAATTACGTTCACCTGAATTATTGAAAGTCGAGAGAAGTACTAGAGAAAAGGCCTAGTAAGGTCACTGAAAGACATGGGCTGAGTCACGACTTTTTAATGCACGTATAGGGGTTTTAATGGTTAGGACTAACTATACTGTCGTAGGCCAAATCTTTCCTTCCACGTCAAAGTCTACCTTTATTACGAATTTTCCGGATGTAGTACAAATACACATTGCGTCTATTAATCTCATGTTTTCCGAAGTAGAACATGCTAACTGTTCCATTTGTTTCTTGCAGCTAAGTCTTTATCAGTAATCGTTTGCAGATAATCAAAACTCGGAAGCAATTTCTGGTCGTTTCATCAGTTGTGGAGACTAACCAAATCTTGTGAATTAGCCAAGCATTTGAATTGAATCTAAAGGCATGAACAATGAACCACTCCTAGTGATACGTTTGCTTTTCATCCGTTATCGTTTGCAAACAGTTGACTGTTTATCTGATTTATATACCATCAAACAGTTGGTTCCACTTTGGCTTCGTATCTAACTGGGCACCAATTGTGATTTGTTGGCAATCAACCTAACTCTTAGGGTTCACGACACAATGCTACCTTCGAATTGGTTGTGGCCTTGTCTTGGAGTTATAAACAAATACATCGCACAACAACATGTTTTTACAACAGAATCCCCCCAATTCATCTCATGTAGCTCTATCTACACCTATTGATATTTCTTTTCTCCCCATCACATATAGAGCCAAGCGCTCCGGACAATTTACAAGTGCATCAAATTGACCAGACGACCCATAATATCTCGTGGGATGCTGTTAGTCTTTGCTATAGTTTGTGTTCGATAGCCTACCAAGTGAATATCTATAACGAGACGGATAACACAGAACTGAATGAAACCATAGTGCAAACATTCTTCGCTCACTCCAACTTGGGACCCGAGCAGACGTACCACTACAAGGTACGCTCCCTGGCAGGAGAGATACCGGTTGCAAGTGACTATACAGAAACCGTGATACTTTCGACTCCACCAGGTAAGCGAATATAATGAAAAAGAGCTGGCGAATATTTATGCACTCCTCATCACTGTACTCTGTTTGGCTGGTCCACGAGCACTTACCAAGCACACCGGTCATCAAGTTGGAATTCTCTAGAAATGTTTTTCCATGGACACTCGTTTCTAAGAAAAGTCAAGCCAACTGATTTGGAACATATCAACAGAGCGTATCCATCGAACTCTGACGGATTCTAAACTATGAGTTGTTTTTATTGATCAGCATATTAGTCGCTGACTCATGAGCGGTGGCGGTGTACCGCAGTAAGTTGGATACCTTTCGCCTAAGTCTAAGGACCGGTAGTTTTGGTTACTTTACTATAGAGAGATTAAAAAAGATGATGACGGAATTTCACGAGGTTTCAGGTGCAAACAACCCTCCTTGGCTCTGGTCATTAATATCAGGCAGAAATTTGACATTTTTCCGAGTTTCCATTGGTACTCCTGGGTGCCACATGACTCCTCGCCAAGTCTTTCACAGCATGTGACCATAGAATGTCTATCAGAACTTTAGCATAACACCAGCGGGTCCACAGTAGATCCATGTTCTACTTTGTTTTCACATAAGTCGTGAAGTTAGTGATGAGAACTTTCAAGTTCACTATCAAGCATTTGTATGACTTTTAACTACACGTACGGAGCTGCAAATTGTCCGGAGTCACCCTTGGATGCAACGAGCTCTGTTGACGGTAGCTGCAGAAGGAAGGAAGCAGATCTACCATTGTTATTTTGAATAAGCCTCTGGAACAAGCACTGGTTTGTAAATCGCAACACAGGCACAGTTTAAAAATGCTTCACTATGAAGCCATTGGTTGTCAGTTCAGTTACTGGACCTGTGGCTGGAACAGAAGAGGGGTAGGCGTCAACCCAAACCGTAACTCTACACTCCACGACCGGCAGTGATAACAGAACAGTGGCTCAAGAGTGTACGTCACAATCTACCTCCACAACAGATTCTTCAATTGAATCCGCCCTCGTTGTAAAAGTTAGCTTGTCGTGAGTGTTGGAGTGATCAAGAGTGAGAAACCAGTGGCAAACTTCCAGCCAACCAGGTGGCACATGAAAATCGATTGGTTTCGAGCGAGCGTGTTCGAACATGAGCTAATGTGAACTGCATTCCATGGGTCAGTTGTAAATTCCACACATGCAAGTAAAGGTTTTAATCAATGTCAGTCTTATCTTTCGTCGACGGAACAAGGGATAAAACCGTGGCAGATGTGACTCACCACCGAATAAAGTCACAGCTCATTACTTCACACTGACAATTTGCCTAACATCATATATCACCATTCTTGATAAACCCCGACACTTTCGTACCTGCATATTTCGTTGCCACGTCGCGTTCTGTGCATTCAACTTTGTTCTTTACGTTACATTCACATACATCCAGCGTATAGTGTAATCACTCTTGATTTCCTTTTTCACCAGTTCTTTTCTAATTGATCAGGTTTAGTTCTTGAGCTATTCATGGCTGAATTGGTATTGCAATTTATGGCAGACTGATTATGCCTATACGAACGTGTCCGAACTCATGACCATGGGATTTCTTCATTTTTACCTCTGTCCTACTTGTACAGTTTCAGGCATGATTATCTGAACAACCTCCGATTGTCACTGTTACAATTGCCATGAAACGCTCGTACAATTGCACTTGTTTGATCATGCTTCCGTGGGCATGACTAGCATAGTCAAGAATAAATATTTTTTTACATCAACCGTAGCAGGATTAGTACTGAACCGTCGTGGCAAGCCTCTCCAGCACTTCTTTGACGGTAACGGTGTCAACAAGTAGTCCTTATATCCCCAGTTTCAGTGGTATTTCTACTACCCTGCCTGAAACGTGTGCTCAGTCGTGGATCGCAGTGTTGTGAACGAGTAATACAGCTAATTAACTTAGAATTAATCTCGTGGCAAATATAAGTGTAAAGCAGATGCAGTGCTACATCATAAATACTACGTAATCTTTCCATTTCACGCTCACTAGAGGTTGTTCTATGTCGACTGAATAAAGCAGTTCGCTTGTTTCGTAACTGATTTCGGTAAGAAAAAGTAGGAAGTTGATAGTCAGCTCCTAAAATTAAAATTCGTCCAATGTTATCGTACCCCACTATTCCCTAACTTGATCTACTTGCTTGGCAGTTGATGAAGACGGGCTACGGAGTGTCTGGAGTTACGTCATCATTGTTGGCCTTCTCTGCATCCTGACCGTATTCGTTCTGATTGCTTTGATCTACGGAAGAAAAGTGCGCACTAGTATTCACTACGAACATCAGATCAACGAGTCCGAGGCTGACGAACCATTCTCCCGGTCTAGCCTCCATAAGAAGCAAACGACTCTTCCTCCTGATTTTGTTGGCGCCGAAAGTATCAACCTCCCCAATGGAATCACACATATGCAAAATTGTGTTAAATAGATCCTATAATTTCGCAGTGTTTATACATCTGTTACTGCAGTGAAACACACGATATAATTGTCCATACTGAAAGCATTAAGAAGTAAAGTGTTCGTGCCTCGCACGAATTGACGTTTGATTCTCAATCGAAACTAGAGGTCGTTAGGGCCCCCACAGGACAGAGAGAAGACCGGGTCGGAAGAGCAGAAGAACAGGAATATAATAGCCAACCACACCGTTCATTGGGAAGGGAAAATCGAAAGTTCATGAATGGTATTTAAACTTCACGTAGAAAACTCTAGAAGGGTCAACTTACGCCCAATGGAGGAATGCCACTCGCGTGTAAATTGATTACATCCCCCAGTTGGCTGTCTGTTCCCCCCAATCAGTGCGGGTGAGTTTGGATCGCCTGCCACGCCTCGGCTCCGGAACTGTGATGCGTGCCTCGGTGGTTCGTTTAGCGTACTCCTTCTTAAGAAAAAGAGAAAAACTATTTGGTCTGCGGTTTTTTCCGCCAGTACAAAAGCACCATAAGGAATAATATTGCCGGTAAACACCAGTGTTCTCCGAATTCCCACAAAGGACACTATCAATGCACACACGGTACAAAATACACCTATAAACTTCATATAAGACGTTCCCTTTACAATTTCAGAATAGAAAGAAGCAGCATTTCCACAGTTTATTCCGCATTCAGCTATTTCGTATCTTCTCATCAGCCGTTGACAAACAATCAGTGGAACGACCACAATGTAACACACCAAGATAAATGGGGTAAAAATTGTTCGGCTTAAATGAAGCTAATCGATAACGCCTCACCGAAGTAAGGCTAGGGTAGTCAGAAAGTCCACCTGCTTACATAAATTGGGCTCCGGCCTACGGATCTCTGAGGCCGCTGAAAATTGAAGCAAACGGGCAGTGCTTTGTCGACTAATGAGCCTGAATATCTCACCTGGACGTTGACAATTAGGGCAAGCAAGCGTGTGCCGGGCCACAGAGATAGCGAGAAACTTCGGCCGTCTGTCACCAAGTTACGCGGGACATTCCCTGAAATCCTCGTGGATAGCCTCCCCTCACTTCGGCCTACATACTTACTCCCGCAATTACAATGAAAAAAGAGGCCGTAACTTTAGAGTCTGGTTTGTCCAGGTAGGATTTTCACAGTAACTTCCTAACATGGTGCAGTAAAAGTAGCTCGGCGGCATAATAACATCTCTTAATGGACTGACGGAAAGGATATCCAAATCACCTGTCATATTGGTCTCCTTTGAATGGTAGCTGGATGAATACTTTCTTCTTAGAGACGACGGCTGCACTCTTTTCAATTGCCTTAGCGTTCGAGCGGCGTGCTATGAATCTGTTGGGATACCTGTTTTTGCGTAGTGTTACCGAGACGCGCCGCAACTCATTATCAATCGCCCCATCGAAGCGGAGCTTACGGGCTTTTGCAAAAGTGGTGCGCACAAGCGCTCGTTTGTAATTAATCAGACAGAACTGTTCAACTTGAGAACGTTGATTGCCTTATACGTCGTGATGCTTTGAGTGGTTTCCAGGAGAAAAACGGTTGTTTTGTGATCGTCGAACAATTAGAAAATCTAGAATGCTCGGCAGCTTTAAACTGACTACTCGCAGAGATGACTAGGTTATCTAACTGTTACACTTTATTGACAACCAGCCATTATTACCAAGTCGGACCGGAGGAAGCTGACCTATACTGTAGTGATTTGACATTAACATGAATATTCGCACTTCGGTGGCAAGCAGAATCCAAAGGACCTAATCTAACCAAGACTTAACCACTAAAGATGATGTGTTTTCGGCTTACCCGTTCCGCCAAACCGTGCTACATGCGTACTGAAGCTGCACCACTCATTCTCCTATCTTCGTGGTCACCCACTCTGGCTCCTACATAAGCACAGCGCGGTAAACTTCAGCCGACATTTCTTCACTCTGCGAATCTGCCGACCATGGAACGCTCGGCCTGCCGATGCAGTCTCGGCATATCTTTTGGATGATTTCAAGACTCGCCTTGGCCAACGCGTCTTGCCGACCTGCATCGTGATCTCCCCTGAGACAGCTACTTGTAGTCTGGAATACGATATCCCAGACTAGCTAAAGTCATGTCCCTTCCGCTTCTCATCAGGCGCAACAGCTTGTTCTTTTATCCCTA